CCTCCCCGCGCCGGCCACTAGGCTGCGCCGCCGCCGCCGCCGGAGGGGAAGGCGCGGGCCTCGAGGCCGCCGCTACCTGCACGGAGCCTGCGCCCTGCAGGGCTGGAGGACGGGGCGAAGCTGCAGCCGGGAGGGAGGTCCGGAGCCCTGGGCCGCGCTGTCCCAGCCCACCCACGGACCCTTCCTCGACGAAGAAGGAAGACAAGAGAGCCTGGCTTTTAGATTTGCTGTTTATTCTTGCAACATCCCCTCCCCACTCCCCAAATCCCAAATGAAACAGCTCGATCTAGCCTCATGTTTATTGGCCATGTGGAATTCCCAGGCAGAGAGAAAACATTTTTCTACGACAGAGTAAAATGGTAGTGTTCAAAACTTTAACCAGTGGCTTTCAATAGCTAGGGGAAGAGGAAGGCAAAAGCCAAGTATAAGGAAAGACAAACTTTACTCGTCCCCCCCCCACACACACACACACCCCGTGTTGGCTCCGCCCATTAGTGTTTGGAAAAGCTGGAGCATCCAGAAGTCGGAGGTCAGCGTGCTTTGACCAAGTCGGTGAAATGTTTGCATGAGTCTACCAGGTCCACCCAGCGTGCTGACTGGCAGGCAGGAGTGCATTATCCAAGTCGTTTTGGCTTCTTGGTCCCAAGCAGGCCACCATCACACTGCCGTGGGAGCGCAACTGCTCAGAACCGTTTGGATTCTGAATGAGATCTCTCGTAAGATGGCATTTCTGGAGCGGCGGTGGAATCCTTTTTACCGGAAGGTTATGCAAACGTTAAAACTTCGTAGTTCTAGAACGACACAAAGCCTTCTCTTAGTCGTTTCCGTGAATGGATGACGGGTGCTCTATGGCACCACACCACAAATAAATAGACTTTTAGTAGATGGAATCACACCTTGGGGTTCTGAGATTTCCAACTACATGATGCTCTATATTCATGTATTTCGTGGTGACTTTCAGTTTCTTCACAGAAACCCAATCCTCAAGAGCTCGAGACCACACCCCCACTTCATCAAGGAAGTGCCACAGTTCAAGCCCCCCACTCACCATGAGTCTTTGAATTTGGAATAAGGCTGAGGTTATGTGATTAAGGGAATGATGGGCAATTGCCTTTCTATCTCTGGAGTGTGTCCTTGATATAAGCTCATTTTAATCACATAAATGAATAGGAAATGAAGAGTGATGCTGTCTCTTCCTCAAAGACGGACACACTACATTTTCATAGATCTCCATAAATCATATTTATGACTTACTTTTGTTTGTGGCTTGTGTCAGGTCCCAAAGGGAACTCCAATTCCCTAAACTCCAAACATCCACAAATGAGCTCAGCCAGGACACAGGAGGACCTCTGGCAGTTCGATAAAAGCCACTATGGCTCCGGAAGTTGTGGAACTGGTTCTCCTCTATCAAAAATATTTCCCTTCACTCTGGCAGAAGGGATATGGCTACCTGGGTGCCTCTTAGCATATCGGAACCCGCATCGGCCTCCAGCCTCCCTCAGTACCATAGGTACCTATTACTCATTCAAAGTTCATGCGATCTCCTTATAATCCTGCTATTCTTGCTATGTTCTCAATATCTCTCTCGTATCTCTCCCCTTCTCTCTCCTCCCTCTCTCTCCCCTCTCCTCTCTCTCCTCTATTCCCATATCTACAATAAAAACATTCACCTTAATTATACCATGGAGTGGTCATGTTATCAGTTTACACAGGTTGTTGAGGGAGGGATTGTTGTTTATTTGTTTTGTTTTTGAGACAAAGTTTCCCTATGTAGCCCCAGGCTGGCTGTGGATCCGCCTGCCTCAGGACCACTGTTCACAGCTTTCCCTAGTCTGTAGCCCCAGGTACTCACCGTGGTACTCTCCTAGCAGTATATGACACATTCAGGACTTGCTGCACCAAATAGTGCGTATTAGTGACCCTTGGGCATATCAAGGATTTTGAGCGTGAGGAATTGAAGAAATGATTGATGTAGGAAGAATTCTCCAACCTTCCCCTGAAGCAGATTAGAAAGACTGCATCTGCATGTACCTTTGGGAGAGTAGCATCCTCAGCCATGAAGAAAGGAATTCTTGGACGCTTTGAAGGAACCGTAGTCTCATGTTTTCCCATGGCCTTTTGTTTGTCCTCAAACCCAGTTTTAAACACATTTAACCCTTTCTTCAAATTTCCAATTCTTTATGAAAGCCTCAGTGTTATGTAAAATTTTTTTAAAGTTTTTATTCTTTGGTCTTTTGGTATAGGGACCCCAGGTAGGAGCTTAATAGAGTTCCCTAAACTCTTGAGAGGAAAAAAATCATGAACCTGTAATTAGCGGAGCCAGAGAGAAAGCCTGTTTCCCTTTAGGACGACATCCAATTCACTGCGAGCAATCCTGGGTTAGTTTACATTGCTCCTCAGAAAGCTGCACTAATTATGATGTCCTAAAGCTTGAGGACCTCAGTTGGATCCCCGAATGGATATGAGAGAGAGAGAGAGAGAGAGAGAGAGAGAGAGAGAGAGAGAGAGAGAGAGAGACTCTAGCAAGGGAAGCAGATAGCCTAACTGCAGATCTTTACCTCTCCTCTCCTCTCACCCAATCCACTCACCCCCATCTCACGCCCTAATGCTGTAGCAGACCCCTGTTGCGGCCTCCGCTTTCTCACTGCCCCCATCTCCAGCAGATCAAGCAGATCATCTCTTACCTTCCTCTGCACACATCCTGTTACCCCAGCCCCCAACTCCAAGCAGACATTCCTTGGGAACCTGCCAGTCAAGTCTGCCAGAGAGGCAAGTAGGCCAGGGAATCAGGTAGGCAAGCTTCAGACCTTTGCTCTTCCTCCTCCCCTCCAAATCTAGTCCCCTGGTCTCATGGTCAGATAGCAGACTCCCTGTGTGGCCGCTCTCTCAGTTTGCTCACTCTTAGTCCCATTCCCAGGGGACTAAGTAAATCCTGGTGGAAAACCCTCCCGTGGATCGCCTTAGCCACCCACTAAGCCCATCTCCATTCCTAGATGTTGGTTCCTTATAACATACATTTAATCCAGAACCCCTAGTGGCCACACCTAGAAGAATCCCAAAAGAATTCCCCAATAGGCAATACATAGCCACCAAATCCCCCTACGAACCAGAGGGCAACAGAAACCAAGAAACAAAACACCCAACCACCAAAGACAAGACCAGCACCTAGAATTACAATCATCCCAAACGCAGATGCCTAGATGCCAGTGTAAAAACCCAATCAATAACAAACAGAACAGTATGTCTCCACTAGAGCCCAGCAACCCTGCCACAGCAGGCCCCAAGAATTGCAACGGGTAGCTGAAGCACAAGAAAAAGACCTTAAGCCGGGCAGTGGTGGCACACGCCTTTAATCCCAGCACTTGGGAGGCAGAGGCAGGTGGATCTCTGTGAGTTCCAGGCCAGCCTGGTCTACAGAGCAAGATCCAGGAAAGGCACAAAGCTACACAGAGAAACCCTGACTTGAAAAACCAAAAAAAAAAAAAAAAAAAAGAAAAAGAAAAAAGATATGGAAAGACCAAACCTTGCTGGGCGGTGGTGGCACACGCCTGTAATCCCAGCACTCAGGAGGCAGAGGCAGGTGGATCTCTGTGAGTTCGAGGCCAGACTGGGCTACAGAGCTAGTCCAGGACAGGCTTCGAAGCTACAGAGAAACCCTGTCTCAAAAAACCAAAAAAAGACCAAACCTAAAAATAACTGGAATAGAGGAATGTAGCCGGAAGTTTTCTCTGGCCCTGCCCACCCCCCACCCCCCGAGGTCCCTTAGCCACTTATAAAATAATCATTCAGAGGCTTAATATTAATTACCAATTGCATGGCCTATGGCAGGCTTCTTGCTAGCTAGCTCTTGTAACTTAACCCATTTCTATTAATCTATAAGTTGTCACGTGCCTGTGGCTTCCAGGTACTTCTACATCTTGCATCTTCTGGCAGCAAGCAGATGGCGACTCCTTTCTCCTTTTTTTGTTTGCCACTTGCTCTTCCTCAGGGGCGATGCCGCCCTGACTGTGCTCGGCTTGCTCCACTGCCTCCTTCTCCCTCTCCCCCTGCCTTTTGCAGGCCTGTTCCTCCTCCTGTGCCATTTCAGTTGCAATTTTCTCCATGTCCACTTCCACCTTCAGACCACATAAGCTTTTAAGTTCTTTGTTAAAGGAATCTGTGCTTTCCAGGAACTTCCTCTTCTTCTCCTGGTGTTGTTCCTCTAGCTGAAGAAGTTCGGCTTCTAGTTTTCGCTGATGAGCCACTAAAAACTGGACATGTTGTGTGAGGACCTGCATTTTATCCTTTGTGAGAACCCACTGCCCATCAGGTACCTCACTCTTGCTGAAGATCTCACTGATGAGGCTGCGGTTTCTCGGGAAACAGGCGGTGGTTGTATGTTCCATTGAAAAGTCATCATCATCATGAGTACAGGATGGAGTAGACATCTTAAGTTGTCCTCTGATCTGACCCAGAGCAAATCTACCTTACAGGCACAGAAGAAGAAGAAGAAACCCAGGTCAAAGGCACAGAAAATATTTTCAACAAAATCATAGAAGAAAATTTCCCTAACCTAAGAATATAGAACACCAAATAGATTGGACAGGAAAAAAAAAGTCTTTGGCACATAATAATCAAAATGCTAAGCATACAGAACAAAGAAAGACTATTAAAAGCTGCAAGGGAAAAAACTACTAGAATAACATCTGACTTCTTAATGGAGACTCTAAAAGTCAGACCAGCCTCGACAGATGTGCTACAGATGTGCTCCAGTCTCTAAGAGAGCACAGATGCCAGCTCAGAAAACTATACCCAGCAAAACTTTCAATCACAAAGATGGATAAAATAGGACATTCCTTGATGAAACCAAATTTGAGCAATATCTATCTACAGAAGGTACCAGAGAAAAACTCCAATCTAAAGATATTAAACACACCTAGGAAAATACAACAAATAGCCGGGGGTGGGGGGTGGGGGTGGTACACGCCTTTAATCCCAGCACTCGGGAGGAAAAGCCAGGTGGATCTCTGTGAGTTCGAGGCCAGCCTGGGCTACCAATTGAGTTCCAGAAAAGGCACAAAGCTACACAGAGAAACCCTGTCTCGAAAAAAAAAAAAAAGAAAGAAAAGAAAATACAACAAATAAGTAAATAATCCAAGACCAGCAAATCAAAAGGGAAACACACACATACAAATACAACACACACACACACACACACACACACACACACACAAACACACATACATACATACATACATACATACATACACACCACCACAACAACAAAATAACAAGAATCAACAAACATTGCTCATTGATATCTTTCAACATGGATAGCCTAACTCCTCAATAAAATGACATAGACTAACAGAATGG